GAATACAGGAAGGAGACAGAGGGCTTGGTGTTGTGGTGCAATGATAATAATCTCTCTCTCAATGTCAGCAAAACAAAGTAACTGATCATTTATTTCAGAAAGAAAGGCGGAGAACACACCCCGTTTATATCAACGGAGTGGAGGTTGAGAGGGTTGACAGCGTCAAGTTCCTAGGAGTGATGATAACCGACAACCTGTCCTGGACTTTCCACATTGGTGCGACAGTCAAGAAGGTAAACAATGCCTGTTCTTCCTCAGGAGGCTAAGGAAATTCAGCGTGTCCATAAGGACCCTCACCAACTTTTACAGATGCAACATAGAAAGCATTCTATCCCGATGCATGATGGTATGGCGACTGCTCTGCCCAGGACTGTAAGAAACTACAGAGAGTTGTGTGCACAGCCCAGACCATCACAAAAGCCAACCTTCTATCCATGGACTCCATTTACACTTTTCGTTGCCGTGGAAAGGTAGCCAACATCATCAAGACCCCTCCCACTCTCCATCAGGCAGAAGATACAGAAACTCGATACAGAAACGCATCAACAGGCTCAAGAACAGCTTCTTCCCTGCTGTTGTTAGACTGATGAGTGGGCCTCTCTAATTTTAAATCTAATTCTGGTCTTGCTTTGAGCACCTCCTGTGCAGCTATAACCTTGTGTGCCTCCCTCTGTCTAAACACCCTATGATCTGTATGTCCTTGTATGCTTTGATCTGCCTGCACTGTTCGCAAAACAAAACTTTTCACTGTACTTAGGTACATATGACTGCAATAAATCAAATCAAATCAAATCCAAGCACAAAACAATTCATCCATGACTCACCCAGAGAGCTAATCAGTGAGGCAGCCAGTTCCTCCCTCATTTATCCAGCAACAGGATCCCTACTCCCTCAGTGATCCAGAGGGTCACTCCGTCAATCATCCAGGGATCACTCCCTCAACCATCCAGAGGGTGACTCCATCAATCATTCAGAGGGTCACTCCCTCAATCATCCAGAGGGTCACTCCCTCAATCATCCAGAGGATCACTCCCTCAATCATTCAGAGGGTCACTCCCTCAATCATCCAGATGATCACTCCATCAATCATCCAGCCAAAGGATCACTCCCTCAGTGAGCCAGATGATTACTCTCTCAATCATTCAGCCAGAGGATCACTCCCTCAGTGAGCAGATGATCACTCTATCAATCATTCAGCCAGAGGATCACTCCCTCAGTGATCCACTGGAACTAAGCAATGAGACTCGTCAGAAATAAAGCCGAGCGGGTGAAACACCAAGTTCTTCCTGGTGTGAGCAACGAAGAGACACTGAGTGTACCCGGTATGATCAGTTCTTGCCAAGCAACCACAAACCGGAATCCCATCTGGAAAACAGCCCTGTCCAGGGGAAGGGGGAGGAGAGGGGACTGTTCAGCTCCCAGCATTTGTGCTGTCAGAAAGGAGCAATCCAGGTTTGATTTACTTTCATTCCCTGAATCCCACGCCTTGCATATCCAAGCAGTTGTCATTGTGATGGGGTATTTTTCACCTTCTAAATTCACTTTCATAAATGACATTTGGAAATCCACGGCCTCTGGAGGAGGAAGTTATGCACACGAGCTGATATCAAAACAATCACCTAAGGATGAAATCCCAACCTCTGCCCACACATAAGGATGATGTGGAGGTGCTGGTGTTGGATTGGAGTGGACAACATAAAAAATCACATGACACCAGGTTATAGGCCAACAGGTTTATTTGAAGTCACGAGATTTCAAAGCCTTGTTCCTTCTTCAGGTGTCAGTGAGAGAGGTGGCATCAGAATTTATAAGCAAAAAATCAAAGGGTCATAGAACTGATGCGAATCTGTTGAACTAACCTAAGATGTCTGTTAAATCTTTAATTACTCCGAAAGGTTTAATATGCAAATTCAAGAATCTCTTTCAAGTCACTGCCCCAAGATAACTAAAGGTTTAATCAGTTCCTTCAGTACACGAGAGGTGACATCCCAGGTCAGAAAATGCATTTTAGGTGTGAGACCTTGTTTAGAATCTGACTGCATCAAACTGGAGTCAGACTGGTTTTATGTGCAAAGGAGGAACTTATAAAATGCCCACATTGACTGTCTAGAGATTGGCTGTTTTTTGACAAAATAGATTGTATCTGCAATTACAAAACTGCAAATGCAAATTCACCCCATAGATTTATGTGTGAGTGTGTGAGTGTGTGTGTGAGTGTGAGAGAGAGAGAGTGTATAAGGTGTTGGGGTCACCTGCAGTGCGACATGAACGAGAAAGAAAGAACGAGAGAGATAACCATTTCTGTGTTTCTTTGAGAAAATAGAGAATTGAATGAAAGTGGAACATCTTCAGTTGCACGCCAGAGTCATAATTCCCCTTTTCCATGTGAAAAGAATCTCAAATTGCTGATTCTACGAGACGGCAGCACTACCTCTTTATCCATCCTCTGATATTTCAGTGCTGTTACAACAGTGAAACTCCAAATGAAATAAAGCTGTCCCACTGCAGGGATGATCCAACAATGTCCCAATACTTCAGCAAACATCCTCCCAAAGTGTAATGCTGCCACAATGTTGACCCTCCGACAGTGCAGCCCTCCCTCAGCACTGACCCTCCGACGCTGCAGCACTCCCTCAGTACTGCCCCTCCGACAGTGCAGCACTCCCTCAGCACTGACCTTCCAACAGTGCGGCACTCCCTCAGCACTGACCCTCCGACAGTGCAGCGCTCCCTCAGCACTGACCCTCCGACAGTGCGGCGCTCCCTCAGCACTGACCCTCCGACAGTGCGGCGCTCCCTCAGCACTGACCCTCCGACAGTGCGGC